ACCAGAAGTGAGGAACCGTGATGGTTCACTTTATGTGCCTTTGTATGCTATGGCATCCAGATATTTGGTCAAGTCCCAGTCTGGATATTGCTGTAGAGGTATTTTTTAGATATTAACATTTACAGCAATAACCTTAGAGTAAAACAGATTATCCTCTATAATGTGTGTGGGCCTCATCCAATCATTTGAAGCCTTTAAGAGAAAACAGACTGAGGTTCCTCAGAGGAAGAGGTAATTCTGTCTGCAGTCTACCTTTGAACTCAGGCCACAGCATGAATGCTTACCTGGATTTCCAGCTTGCTGGTCTACCCTGCAGATTTGGACTCCCTAGCCCCTACAATCATGTGAGCCAATTCCTTCATATGTCTCTCTGTCTCTTTCTCCATTTCTGTCTCTCTGTCTTTCTCCGTGTGTGTGTGTGTGTGTGTGTGTGTATACACATCGTATTTGTTCTGTTTCCCTGGAGAACTCTGATTAATACAGAAACTAAAAACAAACACTTTATTGCCTTAGCAAGTTTTTCCTCCTGGAAAAAATAAGGGGGAAGGGACATAAAGACAAATACCTATGATTACTCTTAAATATCTGCATCTCCATGAAAAAAGTGAAGGGAAAGGTTTTGGATTAATTTATTCCACAAATGCTTGTGAGGCACTCACTCCATGGCAGGCCCTGCAGTGCCCAGTTCTCCTGGGAAACACAGCAGAGAAAGAAAGGGACAAAGCCTCAACCCTTGTGGAGTTTACCATCCAGTAGCAAGATGCTGATGATAGACAAATGAACACACAGTGGATTAAATGGTGTAAGTGCTAGGAATAAGAGCAAAAAAGGGAAGGGAAATAGAGAAGAGGGTTTCTATTTTAAATGTAGTGAGCAGGGATAGCCAAGAAGCTATCAGCAGAAGAGAGAGCCAGACGGAGGAAGGAGCAAATACAAAGGTGCAAGGAGGGCAGGTCCTTCACAGAAGTCTGGGAAGGCCAGTGGGGCTGGAGCTGAGTCATACAGGAAGAGAATAATGGAAGACAAAATCTTTCTCTGAGTGATGTGAGAAGCTATTAGAAGGTTTTGGACAAAGGAGTGACGTGATCTGACATGATTTTGAAAAGTACTCTGGCTGCTATAAGGAGGATAGATTATTGGAGGGCAAGAGTGGACTAAGGGAGACCTTTAAGATGCTATACCTCAGGCAAGAAAGGATGATGACTGTGGTTATTAGGTGGTAGATATGTAACCCCATCAATACATGGAAAGTGGAACTCCAAATTGGAGATAGCCCTTTGGGAAATACCAAGATTTAAAGGCTACAGTTGAATATGGCATAGAAGGATGATCAAGGCTTATGCTTAAACCCAAGTAAGCATTCTTGGAAGTTCCTTGGTGGGACACAGGCAGGAGAATCCATCAGAGACATTGCAGTTACAAGGACTACATTTTTAACCACAGCTAAAAATGCCTGAGATGTTCACGTTTCACAGCTATAGAGAAAGGGTGTGGGACCAAAAGGAACATAGTGTGCTCTGCAGTCTAAAAAAAGGGAGCAATAGCTTTCCTAGTCTGTCTCTAGAATTATCCCAGATAGGCAAAACGTTGGCCATGTTTTCATATTCAGTCTGGCTTCTTGGCACATATATCCTTATAACACAGACAGATGCATCAAACTCTCTTGGCAAGAGCCATTATGATCACCCACCTTAGTTTTCTTGCACCAATTCAATGCTCAATAACAACCTGATTATAATGTAGCTTTCCATGGAGATTTTTCTATGAGAAGTGAGTTTCCATTCTGGTGATTACGAACCTTAAGTTCTGCTTAATATTTATGCTTTCAGTATAAGTTAATAAACAGGCTCAGTGTTATATTTACATGAATGTCATGAGTCTAACTGATATGAATCAATCTTCATGGATCTGAATGCTCAGAAAATTTCAGGTTTCTGTCTTGCTAAACTGAGGAGCAGACTCCAAATCTATGGTAATGCTGCCCTGAAATCTAGCATTAACAGGCCAGTCTCTGAGGTGCTTTGAGTTGTCCTTTAACAAGAGAATAAGTTTACTAGCTGAAAAATTCAGGAGGAATGTTAAAGGAATGAAATGTGCAAAACCACAAAGATAGGAAATGGAGGACTGTGTTCCCATCATCATTTAATCTAAATGAAGCAGAGACTGAGTGTTTGAGCAATGTTGAGAGAGAAGCTTAGAAAAACTGTTTAGGAACAAAATATCCCTTGAATACCATAATGAGAATTTTGAGTTCTTTCCTAAGGCCAAGGAGAGTGGGAGCAATTTTGAATCAGAAGAGAACCCTGTAGAGGCATATAGATATGTTTTAGAAAAATATGACTGGTGATGGTGTGGAGGATTAGACTAAAGTAGAGAAGGGATGAACTGGGATAAGTTAGAAAGAGACTCATGGAAAACTACATGGACCTGAATAAAGGCCAGGGCAATGGGGTACAGAGAGGATGAAGACCAGCAAGGTAAGACAAGAAAAAATAAGCCATACGTGAATATTAATGGAAAAGCATGGATAGATTTAGCTTAGCCAAATAATTGGAAAGTAAACTCATTAACTGAGATAGGCAATGGAGATGGAAAAACAGGCTTTGGAAGGGGTATATTGTGCTTAGTTTTAAACATGTTGATTTTGAATGTTTATGAGTCATTCAATTGGAGATATCCAGAAGGCAATGGAACATAAGTCTACAGTTCAGGAAAACCATATGGACATAAGCTGTGACTTTGGAATTTGCCACAGACAATAAGCAAAGTTATAGAAGCCCATGAGTTAAAATTTGGTGGTGTGGGTGGTTCAGAGAGTAAGGCGTAAGAAGATTAAGAATGAAATTCCAGATACTCACAATATATAAGGTGTTGACAGAGTAAAAGGAGTCATTAAAAGATTCTAAAATGTAATCAAAACTATGAGGAGAGAGAAAAATGAACAATGTTATAAAAATCCAACAGAAACAAATATTTTAGGGTGAAGAGAGAAGTCAGCATTCCCACATGCTCCAGAGTAGGTGAAAGAAAATGAAGACAGAAAAGAAACCTTTCCATTTAGCAGTCAAGTCATTGGTAATCTTTGCCAGAGCCATTTCAGTGGAGTGATGAGGGTATAAATAATATTGCAGAGACTACTAGTAAGTGAACATGGTTCTTTCAAGAAGCTTTGAAGTTAAGAAAAACAAATAAAATGGCAACTTGTGAAGGAAGTTCACAAGTATCAAAGGAAGCTTCGCAGACTGAAGACCTTAAGTCTTTCTTCTTCCTTATTCTCTCAACCCAATCAGCAAATATATCCTGTTGATATTTCAGGCAAATTCTCTTCAAGACTGGCCCTTCCTCTCTTTTGGTCACTTGTCACTCTTCTTTTTGCATCTCTGATCTGCTTTCAATCCTTCTAATTACTCTCCCTGCTTCTGCTTGCTTTTCCCTTCAAGCCATATACCATCCTGCTGCCAGATGAATCTTCTGGAATGGCAGTTACTGAATGATTCTCTGCTTTAAAAACTTCAATGGTTCCTCACTTTTTCTTATTCACACTTCATCCTGACATTTGATATCTCACCAGGATTGGTCCTCCCTATATGGCCTGTACCCACCCTCCTACTGTGCTTCAGCCAGAGGGACTTCTCAGCTGCTCTTAGGTACTAATCATTGAGCATACCCTTCCTTCTAATTGACATATTATCCGCCTTCTTTCAGGTAATCAATCTACCTGTTCTTCAGGGATCAAGTTAATTTCCAAGTCTTCCATGAAAAAGAAGGAAGAAAAGGAAAAATAGTTACTAAGACATTTTATCTATTTTACCTTAGGTTAGAAAGAAGGCAAGGGTGAAAAGAGAAAGGGAAATAGCTTGAGAAAACAACAATGTCTATATCTATGTAAAGATCAATAACCATACAATTTTGAAAATAGTATCATTCTTGGCCATGCATTTATATACTTTTGGTAGTTAAGTTCCCTGTTTACTCCAAATTGTAACGTCTTGTTTTTACATGATGATACTGTATTTAAAGCTTCTTAGCTTCCTATGACTACATATGTGAATAATTGCTATTTGGCAGGTTTGGGGCCCAACTTTGGAACTCAAGCACTAGAGAAAAATACCCTGGGAACTTTTCAAAATTACACACATTCCTGGAGATTCTGGTCTCACCTCACTCGGTCTATACCCGCTAACTACTGGTTTTTGAGTCTTCTCACTGATGAGTGAAATGCTTGCCTCAGGTATGGGTTTGAGAACCACTGCAGAGTATGTTGAGTGAGAAAAGTCAAAACTTTTATAGAATTTCAGGTTGTTTATTCCTAGTGAAAAAGAAAACACAAAAAAATGGAAGCAGTTAGTTTGGTGATTTCAATTCCTCAAAATATAAAGAATATCCCCCAGACAAGGATTAAATGGTATCAGGAGATTTATCCTCCTGAATAGTCACATAAGAGTTTGAAAAATATGTAAGGAATGCAATATCAAAGTAAAAATAAATCAGCCAACAGACTGTCTCCAATCTGTTGGATGATATATTTGGCATATTTTATAATTAAATAAGCTGACTTAACGTTGTTTTGAGAGTCTAAACAACTACTTTGTTTTCTTAATAAGACTGCATGGAACCCTGTATTCCTTGTCAATCATATTGACCCCGCTGTGTCCTGTAGACAGGCAATGCTGCTTTTTCCTGCAACACTGTATGATTGCAGTATATGACTGCACCCCTTAATGATATGGATACAGTTCCACTGAGACATTAATCTTTTTAGTCAGTGTATGAACACCACATAGTACCAAGCTGTTTTGATGACTATTACCTTAGACTGTGTTATTGTTGTTTACTCCAATGATAGTAGGTATTTATCTAGCATCTTAAATTTTAATGGCTTTATGTTTATTTTTATTAACAAAAGAAAAAAGAACTCTTTGAATTAAGTATCTGATGAAAGACACTACGGTACCAAAAGTTCAAATTCTACCCCAGTATTTTAAAATCAGACACTTGTCAAGACTATACTTTCAGAGATGATTTTTATCATTTGTTACTAGAGAAGTTTCTCTGAACATGTAGAGTGCCTGAAACTATGAGGAGGGGGTGCAGTGTTTCTTCCTGAATGTAAAGCTCACTCTTGGTGTTGTCTCTGCAGCTGCCCTTGGTCATTGATAATCATTCTTCTCCTCCTTTGGGGAAGTAAGAAGGAAAGGACACCATCGGAGTGGTTTCTGCAAAAATATAAAATAAAATAAAAAACACTTGTCCCATTACTTGGCTCTCACTCATAGTTGAGCATTAGAATCACTCTGGGAGCTTATTATACATATGGATTCCCACACTGGGAAATTTTCATGATGCCTAAAAATCTACATTTAGAATGAGAACTAAGGATGGTTCTTGAATTCCAGTTTGAAAATTACTGACCCACTCCCTCACTTACACATGATGAAACTGGGCCTGAAAGGCTAAATAACTTACCCAAGGTCACATAGCTAGATAATGACAATCAAATGTAGAACCGAGATGGCTAACTTCCAGCTCTGTGTTCTTCCCGCCCTGACACCCTGCCTATGTAGACAGCCCTCTCCCTGGATTCCTCTAACAAGAGCAGTCACCTCTCTAGTCCACCTATGAAGAGAAGTTCACAAACAGCAATACCTACAGGTGCCATAGACCAGAAGGAAGTTATCAATGTATAGTAATGAGTACATGTAATGAATATTAGAAGAATGGCTGTTACCATAAGGGGAGTACAAACTATGCCAGCACCAATGGAACATGAAGGCAAAATGTAAAGAGCTTGGTAAGATAGACAAAGACTACTATGAAATGTCAACTTATTTTACTCACTTAATGTGACTAAAATCATCAATAAATTTTCTTTATTCGGTATTATATTTTTAGATTTATCATCTCAATAAATGTAGAATAAAAAGTTTTGATAACTGATAATTAAATGTAACTAAGTCTGATAACTGAATCTCAGAAAGGCTACACCTTGAGTTTAGCGTATCTCTCTAAATTTCAGTTTATTCTCTGCGAAAATACAACCTATTTTAAACCTACCTACTATGCAGAATTATCTGAGTACAGCAATATTATATGAACGGTGTTTCATGCTGTCCTAGTACATGGTAGATACTCAGTAAATGTTACAGATTTTTAAAAATATTGTATGGTGGGAGGACCAGAGAGATTACCATTACATACATACCAAAGTATAATTATTGATACTTCCCATCACTAGAGTGCTGTATAAATTACAAAACATGACAGATCAAAGATATAAGAAAGATTTAGGAGATTTAAGAGAACACTTCTGTATAATAACAGGGATGGAACCAATGGAATACAATGTCGAACAAAAGAAGCCAGACACAGTATCACAAACACTATGATTGTAAACATTAAAAAAAAAAAAAACCGGCATGATTAAACTATATTTTGGGGAATGCATAGTTAGGAGGCAAAACTACAAAGTAAAGCAAGGAATTAATGAAAACACCAGGATAGTGGTTGCCTGTAAAGGGTGCAGAGGAAGTTGCTGTGAGGAAAGATACATGAGGGATTTCTAGGGTGATGGCCATGTTCTATTTTTTGACCTATGTGATGGTTACATTAGTATTTTCTTAAAATTATCTACTTTTTGTGTTTTTATGCATTTCTATTATGTATATTCCACAATAAAATTTTTTGAGGTTTTTAAAGAGACAAATTTAGCAGATAAAGCTAAAAGGAGGCACGAGTTATTCTTATTAAAGACATTCGAGTTGCTCTCTACGTGAACTACTAAAGTAATAAAGTAAAGCTGTGCAGCAGGTTTTTGTAAATATTTATCTGTGCCCTGGCCCAGAGGACTCACCCTGGAGGTGTTACGATGTTTAATTGGAAGGCATTTGATCACAGGTTGCCAGGATCCATTCAACACTAAACATATAGCCAATATAATTCCGTCTGACTTACTCATGAGTGCTGATTATATTCAAAATCCTCATAATCTTAAAAATAGTCACATTTGGGGGCACCTGGGTGGCTCAGTCGCTGAAGCATCCGACTTCAGCTCCGGTCATGATCTCACGGTTTGTGGGTTGGAGCCCCGTGTCGGGCTCTGTACTGACAGCTAGCTCAGAGCCCGGAGGCTGCTTCAGATTCTGTATCTCCCTCTCTCTGACCCTCCCCTGCTCATGTGCTCGCTCGCACACTTTCTCTCTTTCTCTCTCTCAGAAATAAATAAAACATTAAAAAAAATTTTTTTAAGTCACAATTGCTTGTTCCAACAATGCTTTCAGCCATAGTTTCTATGGTTCCCAACTCCACATGGAGAAATAATATATGTCCTAAACAGTAAGATGACTAGTTTTCTGAGCTTCACAAGGGCAAAATTTGTCATTTTGCTGCTTTGGTTAAACACATCTACAGCAAAATAGATGCAGGATCTTTTCAGGAACTAAACTAAAACTTTAACCAAAACATTAAAAGATGAAAATATAGTCAACGGCTATAGTTTATCATTTCATTATTTAAATTGACTAATACAATCTGGCATCTAAACAGACTGTTTTAGATGAAGTGCCCATGTGTGTTTTATCATTTGTTTTAAGTTACGTAATAGCTAGAAACTTGAAATAAAACCAATTTGGTCTTAGAGTTAGTGACAACTGCTTCCACACAACCAAATTTAAAAGTTTCTAATTTCCTGTGGTTTATTATTTGGAGCCAGAAAATGGACCTAACTTAATAATATGCTACTTCAAAATCAATTAATTGGATTTGCTTTAATGAAATCTATCATGCAAACAAAACAGTACAATTTATATGCACAACTTAAAGAATAATAATAAACACCACGTACCCACCACAAAACGTAAGAAATAGAATATAACAAAATCTTTGTTTCCCTTTCTCCCCCATAAGAGACAAAAACTAATTTTTTGTCTCCTGTGGGGGAGATTGATGAATATCACTCCATGCTTTTCTCTGCAGTTTTTTTGCCACATGTATGTTGTGTAATAATGAAGAATATTATTTAGCCATACATATTTTAAGCATTAGATAAATGAAATCATGTCGTAACATGAAAATTCAAAAAATTTTCTTTATTCAGCATTATATTTTTTAGATTTACCATGTCAATAAATATATACAACATTTTCAATGTTGTATATTTAATTGTATGAATACATACCATAAAGTACCCATTCATATATTCATAGAGAAGGCATTTGGTTTGTTTCCAGTTTGAGTTTTTCTTTTTTATCCTATTACAAAAAAAAAAAAGCAATACTATAAACATTCTTAGATATGTTCTTGGTGCCCAGGTGCAAAAGTTTCTTATGAGTGACTATCTAGGAGTGGAATTCCTAAATCATAGGTATGCATATCTTTAACTTCAGCAGATATACCAAATTGTTTTTCCAAAGTGGTTGTACAAGTTTACATTCTGGAGTGTTTGAGTTTACTTTTCGTAAATATTTATTCACTTACAAAGCAACAATATTAACTTTCCCTTGCAGACTCTTGTGGTTACAAGTATTAGAAGCAAACACTAAAAGGAAAAATTAATTGGCTCACATAACCAAACTGTAAGAAGGGTAAAGGTAGAATTGGCCTTGGGTGTGATTGGAAACAGATTTATGGATTTTAACAGGACTTCTCCTCTAGCTCTCATTTCTGCTTCTCAATGAATATGTTAGTCTCATTCTCTCAGGACATTTCTCCACCAATGAAGGTACATTGTTTCTGTAGATCTGATTCACTTCCTTCCAATTTCTTCTCAGTTCCAGGTTGAAAATCCTGACAAGATCTCTGACTGGGTCAGCCTGGGTTCCAAGCCCATACCTTAAATTAATAATTACTATGACCAGTAGGTGATGCATGCTGATTAGGTCACATGACCATTTCTGTGGCCAGAGGATTAGTGGCTTTGTTACCAGACGAGAGGGAAGAGAAAAATGATCAGATAACAAATATATATACTAGTGTGAGCAAAACCAGCAAAGAATTATTATAACTGTGATTGTGGCTAAATGCAATAAAACTTCTACCTAGATTTTACAGGAATAAAAATTATCCTTTTTTACACCCTAGAAACCAGAGGACACAGAGGATATCACACTTGAGGACCTCCACTCTTCCACCATTAGGAGGTCAGCTATGTGTCCTTTCTCAGTTAGAAAGGGTCCAGTCTTAACATTTAATATTGAAGTATCTTTTGGCATTTAGATTGAAGTGTTCTGTGAATATCTAGAGCTGAACTAAGGAGAGCAGTCATGGCTGAAGGCAGATGTTGATATCTTTAATGTGAGCTTGAAGCCATGGATGTGGGTAAGATCTCCTTTCTGATGCATGCAATGAGAGACGGAAAGGAGGCTGGCTGAACCTGTAGAATAGCCTCATTATGGTGGGACAGAGAACTGAGGTCCCTGACAAGCGACCAGTGGAAAATAAAGAGGAGGGAAGGATAAACAATTGAGCAAAGGCATGAGGACTTTGGAGAGCCTGTGGGCAGGAGCACAGATGAGCAGCTTAGCCTTTGTCAATAGGAGGATACTCTCTACTGCGAGAGAAAGAAAACTGTAAGGATGTATGTGAAAGCAGGTAAGTTTCTAGGTGGCAGATAGAAAGCTGAAGAGTTTCTCACCAGTGCTTTGGTTTTGTCTGTAAAGTAAGAGCAAGTCCATCGTACCCAAATAAGGGGAGTTGGTACAGAAGGAGGGCTAGGAATAGGTGATGATAGGAGAGTTGTGCTTTCTCCCTCCCCAAAGAGAAGACCACAGCAGATACTGAATGAAAAGCATGAACTAGAGTATTGCAAATTTTTTAAAAATTCGCAGGATTTCCCCCCAGCAGCATTTCCAACATTCTGAACATAGAAACAAGATGGTTAGATAGATCCAGAATAGAGAATTTGAGATAAGATGTGGCCTGAAAGATTTATAACATGGCTGCTTTTCCCATAAAACAAAGTAGGAAATAATTAAATTTGTTCCATTTCAAGATTCACCTGGCAGAGTAGTGTTGGCTTATGGTACAGAATACCTGTGCCCTGCTTCATGCCTCTATTGTCTACAGAAAGGACTTTAATCCTATAATAAAATCTCACATAGGATACAATGAACAGTATTTCCTAGAATTTTTTAAAAACTAATAAGAAGGAAGTTTGAGTATGATGATTAACATGCAAGCCAGTTATTGGAAAAGGAAAGCAGAGTTGAAAGATTATTGTT